TCGAAATAAAATATTATTTTTCTAAATAAAACAACACCCAATCTTTTTTTATTTTACATCCGATTTTGACACATTTATAACCGATCTTGTTTTAAAATTTTTTAAAATGGTCCAAATAACCTTAAAGTAATTCGAAAACTAAAATTTCCACCAAATTGTATCCCTACAATCTGTCCATATATTTATCGAGACTTGGAATGTCCTCAGAGAGACCTTTTCTTTTCCTGACGGCCTTAACAATATCGGAAACCTTTCCAGGTTCTAGCGGTGTACCGTTCATTAATTGCCCTGTGAAGTGAAAAGATTTTTTTTTTAGGGATTAAATAAAATAGCTGAATATAAAAAGAATGTATGCATAGTAAGAGAATACACAAATGTGACTTACAGCTGTATGGTTTAATTATGGTGCAGTTTTTTAAAGTGTAAGATAGAAAATAAAAATTTTTTAAATATGAATTCAATTAAAGAAAACAAGTATGAAAAAAATCACGTACTGATCAAAAACTGCTTGTGGGAAAGCTTGTCCACCAGTATTTGACCTCAGGTCAGCAGTGAATCCGAAAGATTCGTTTACCTAAAAAAAAAAATAATAGGTAAAGAAAGAAGAAAACCACATCAATTCATCATAACTCGAAAAAAGTTGAATAAACTTCACTACACAAAAGATATTTACAGGTAGGTAGGCCTTGACATTATACAATGGAGTACCAGCACGCTGTTCTTCGGCAAAGACGTGACCACGACGTCTGTTCAATACACCATAGATACCACCCATTGCGGATTCCGGACATTGGATTTCGACAAGATAAACGGGTTCTTGAATACCAGGATTGGCTAATAAACAAGCTGCGTAAATGACACGACGGCAGGTAGGGATGATTTGACCACCACCACGATGAATGGCATCAGCATGTAGTACTACATCCATGATATTGAATCGAACGGATCGCATATGTTCTTCAGCACATACACCTTCTTTTGTAGCCCATTGGAAAGCAGCAACACACGAATCTTTGATTTCATTAAGATATTGAACCCCTTTAGTTACATCGACCAACAAATTTGGACCAGTAGTCTCAGGACCAAAGCACCAAATTTTACGAGCATCGGTTACATCCCAACCATAGGTCTCAGCTAGGATACGGGCACGAGCTTTAAAGTCATCACGTGGGTTAATCTTCCCACTTTCGATTTCAACAGCCAGTTCTTCTTGCATTGGCATGGCTTTCAAGTACAGACGGTTATGTTTATTGGGTGATTTTGATAAGGCAACTACTGATGATTCGGCCTGGACCGTTTCTCGGTATGCTACCACTGGGTCTCCAGTCTTAATTGGAACTTGTGCGTGATCTTCTTCTAAATCCTTTAAACAAATTTCCAAATGTAATTCACCAGCGCCAGCCACAACGTGTTCGCCAGATTCGGATGTAGAACATTGAACGCAAGGATCTGACTTTGAAAGGCGTTTTAATCCTTCGACTAATTTTGGCAAGTCATTTGCATTTTTCACTTCAACTGCCACTCGTACGACAGGTGACACAGAGAATTTCATAACCTTCAAATTATGTGCTGCTTCCGATGTAGTGATGGTACCAGATTTGAGCAAATATTGATCAACACCAACTAGTCCAACAATATTACCGGCAGGACAATCTTCGATTGGTTCAACGTAACGACCCATCATGAGAATAGTACGTTGAATGGATTTTAAGAAAAGATCATCCTTTTTTCCTGGTTGATAGTTGGGGCCCTGAATGCGAACTTTGAGACCAGACCTTACAGTACCAGAGAACACACGACCGAATGCATAGAATCGACCTTTATCAGATGTCGGTACCATTTTAGACACATACAACATAAGTGGCGCGTTTGGGTCACAATCTCGAATTCCAATAGCGCATTCGTCATCTGCAGGTCCTTCGTACAATGATTCGGCACGATATTTTTGTGCAGTAACAGGAGACGGAAGGTGAATTACTATCATTTCAAGTAAAGCATCTGAAGCCGGTAGGAATTTCTTCATTACAATTTTGAGTAGAGCTTTGCCTTCAAGGTCCTTTTCCTCACTCTTCAGCGATATTTCCAATTTCTCAATCATTTTCGAGGCCTCATCTTTCTTAAAGTTCATGATAGCATCAAACAACCTAAAGATAGGATCCAAGACAAACATACAGAACGCCCGTTCAAGCGTCTTTCCGTCAGGAGTATTAGACTTTGTAGTCCATTTCTTTGTAGCAGGGTTGAAATAGTTTTCACCCCAAAGTTTTTGCATCATCTTTTCTTGGTCAACGCCAAATTTTTTTGAGTAACGTCGGGCAAACTGGCGAAGAGTGAACCCCCAACCGTGAAGCCCCGAGCCAAAAGCAACCGTACCCTTTTCTGGGTAAACTTGAACGTCCCCGAGAGTTTTATCAAAATATGTTGAAATAATGACATTTACAGATTCGATTGTACGTTGGAATGACTATTTTTGCAAATGAGGAAAAATTACATTAGTGAATTCTTTAAAATAAAATAAGTAAACTAATAATAATCAACAAATATGAAAAACATACAGTGTATAAATCTTCTTTTGTAAGTTGTAATTCCAATAAGGCACGATCAACCTTGTTAATAATTACAACAGGCTTGATACGTTCTGTCAGGGCTTGACGTAAGACGGTCTCTGTCTGAACACATACACCTTCGACACAGTCAACAACAACTAAAGCGCCATCAGTAACACGAAGAGCGGCAGTGACTTCCGATGAAAAATCGACGTGTCCGGGAGAGTCGATCAAGTTGATCAAGAATTCATTACCTATGAGAATAAAATAATGAGCACATTGAGAGAAAAAAGCAAATGATCTACCATAATATTTCTTATATTACCATCAGTCTTTTGCTTTACGTCACCAAGGTCTTCTTTGTTCAATTCAAAGTACATTGAAATAGCAGTAGATTTAATTGTGATACATCGATCCTGTTCATCTTGTCGAGTATCAGTAAAACGTGCTTCGCCAGCTTTCGCTGACGAAATAATACCGGCTTTGGATACTAAAGAATCGGTTAATGTGGACTTTCCATGATCGACATGCGCAATAACCGACATGTTACGAACATTGGAAACGCGGTCCATCTGATTTCAAAAGATTATT